TCCCACAACTCTCCCACATTATTATTCCTTTTTAAGTAAACACAATTTCCGTAGAAATTGGCATAGGCCTTAGATACTTCTCTTTTCTTCTTAATATTTTCTTTATCAGTTTATACCCTTTCCCAACCCAGGTTCTTGTTTGTAAGCTAATTTAATGATAAGTGAACAAACTTGTAACAATATTCATTCAAAAATTTTTTTGAATATTGATTCAAATATCTGTTTAAATATTTGAATATTTGTTTAAATTAGTATTTTTATGAACAAACTAAATTGGATTTTTGTCTGGATTTGAAATTTGAATCAAACTTGAACTGAACTTTGGCTTGAGTTCAAGAAGAGTTTGAAATTCAAACCAAATTATTATAAGGATTTGAGTTTGGTTCAATTTTTTTACAATTAAACATATAAAAAAATAATTGACTTTATATGCAATTAGAACAGCTTGATCAGATTAAATCTAAAAAAAATATATGTTAATATATGTAATATTATCTTCATTTTAATGTAAAATAAAAAATATTTATTAGTAAAATTGAAAACCTTTATATAGAGAAAAATCTGCATTTTATTATATTTAATTAATAAATTTTTATGCCATTGCATTATTTTTGATTGCCACTGTATCATTATATCAAAATAACCACAAATATAATGTTCTATAACTTTGAAACTACAAAATTATAAAAAACTTTATTGTATTAATAAGTAAACATAAATGTTAATAATAATAAGTAAATATTAATTCTAATAAGTAAATATAGAATAAGACTATACTATAGCAAATATATGCAGTAATAATATTAATTTTTTCTAGTCCTAATGTAAAGTTTTATATCTACGGGTCGATTTGCAGTAGCATAAACATATTTTGGATTAGCATTTTTATCAACTAATTCCATATCAAATGTACAAAGAAGTTTAACTAAAAAAGTTTTCATTTGAACTATGGCCCATGCACGACCAGGGCATATGCGTACACCATTTCCAAATGGTATATATGTATATTTACCCATCGATTCTTTGTCAGCCAAGAATCTATCGGGATTAAATTTTTCAGGATTTTCAAAGTATTTAGGATTATTACTTAAAGCTTTTAGATTTGTAAAAACTGTTGTATCAGCTTCAATTGTAAAGCCATCAAATTCAACATCTTCGGTTGCGGTACGAGGCATGAGTGATATGGTAGGGAAAATACGAATACTCTCATTAATTACAGCTCCAATATACTTGAGTTTTCCATAAGATTCAAAAGTAAGGTCAGGATTATCAAGTGTACCGTAAACATTTAACACTTCCTCTCTCATTTTCAAGTAAACATCCCGATGTTTGGCGATATAAAAACTAATGAATGATAAAGAATTTGATGTAGTATCCATTCCACCAGTAAACACTTCACGTATTATCGAACTTATTTCTTCATCTGTTAAAGGTCTATCAAATTTACCAACTGCGATTGTTTCCAAATCTCTTTCTGTATTCGTTGTAAGTAATAAAGTTAAAATAGTTGGTTCGAGAGGTTGATTCAAGGGTGTATTTAAGATTTCCTTTCTTCTTTCAACGACCAATTTTTTCAATTCATTATCTATCCAGTCTCTATTATCCAAGTATTTTGTATTTAAACTTTTAATTCCGGGAAATTTTCTTCGGAAAAATGTTGGAAATAACATCATAAAACTCATAGATTCGTTATACGTTTGAATCGCTTGAATAAATCTTAGGCCATCTTGCCAAATTCCCTGCATTTTGGACGTTTTTCCTTTAAGATTCAAAGTATTAAATAATTCTGCTGTTGAGGAGTTTTTTTTTCCTGTTGCAGTCGTAGAAACAACATCAGCTCCTAAAGCATCCATCCAGTCGGAAAATTCGACTTGCATTCCTTCTTTTTCCATGATTTTCCAATATTCGAAAACTTCATTAATAAGTTTGCTTGACAATTTAATCGATTCACGTAGGAATGATGGTGAAGAAATAGACGGAACCAAGAATTTTCTATTGATAGACCAACTTTCGATATCACGATTGAGCACCATTCCTTTTGTGCCCAATCCAAGTTCATCAATACCTTCGGAATATGAATTACGCATAATGAATTTTGTATTTTTAAGGGATAAAGGACCCCAAACCTTTTCAACTAAATCAGGTCTGCTAATTACAATGTTACGTTTATTTCCCATATAAAATTCATAAAAATCCCCATATTTTCTCTGAAATATCTTTGCCGCAGCTGGAAAATCTCCACCGAGTTGATGCATATTTCCAATAAGTGGTAATGGAAATGGTCCGGGAATTTTTGATGATCGTTTAAAATAATTCATGTAATATTGTATTACGTAAATTACAATCGTTAAAGTAATAATCGAGAAAAAATTACTTTTAACGATGTTGATTAACTGGGAAATCGTGTACGCGAACATATTTCAAAGGCTATGCAATAAATAATGAAAAAGGTGGTCGAACCCGTTTCCATGCTCATACTCTTTAAATACCTTTTTTTTTGTATAAAGCGTGCTTATTGGTAAAGCTTTGAATATTAATGGCTAATACAAAGTTAGTATATAAGCCGAATTGTATCAATCGTCAGAATTGTAGATCTCGGTGCTAAGATCCAAAATGAAACTCATATCCGTCCTATATGACATGAAAACAACATTCCTATAGCGACCAAAAGGAAAAACAAAGCTTCTTGACAGTATAATAAAGATGGATAAGTTAAGCGCATTCTGTAGCAATTAAATACATAAAATAGGTATCACTCGAAATAAACAAAGGTTTATTAAAGATGTGCCTGTGCATCCCTCGGATCCGATCTGTCCTGTGTATTCCGACAAGCCCCTAAAATTGATTAACGCAAAAATTTCAAACAAATGCATTTTTTCGAATAACTTGTATCTCGAAATTTTGCCTATAAAACTGCTCTTGGTGTTCTAATAAAAAATGGTCCTTGTGAAATTTTTACTATTATATTTTTATTAGATAACTTTAATCCTGAACCTAACCCGAAAACTCAGTTTAGTATTACAGGTTGGAATCGTGGGGTGCACGAATCGTTCCGAAATGCAGGGTGCACGAAATTAATAATCCCGAAATAGGTTTTGAAACATATGATCAATTCATTACCAATAACATACAAATAATAATTTGTCGATTAGATATTATTGGTTTTTGATATTTAAACACGTCTAGATTAACAAGAATAAAAATATCTATAGCGATAGATTATAACAACACTTTAAGATATGGTTAAGGTGAGTCAATGACTAGTGAGAACTTGTTGAGCAATTCTAATATTCGCTTCAAAAACAAAGGTGATAATAAATATTTCTATATATACAACATAAAACCGGAAAACAAACAGAAAAAAATAAAATTACATTATAAGTAAGAACAACAATTACAATAATAATTATAATTACATAATACACTACGAAAAACGGGAAACTCACTTCTTTCCCTCAATAGAGCGAAAATAAAAATACAAGGGTACACAAATTGCGAGATTGAGAAGAGCCACAACAAGCATAGATGATAGTATTATTCTCTCTATTCGTGTGAATCCACCTTGCGATCTTAATATCGGTTCTTCTTCAACTCGTAAATTTGCTAAATTAAATATGAAATTAATTAGTATTTGGTCAATATACATAAAAAAACATTTCGCACCTGAGAAATAATTTTTACCTGAAGGAGCAACAGTGTTTGCTTGAGTTTGGGTGTCTTGATTCGACAAAGGATTTGATTCCTTAGAGGCTTGTAATTTCAGAATAGCTTTCCTCAGCGAGCGTTTGCCAAATACTGACAAACTAAGCACGCAGCAGCCAACAAAGATGAAATTCATTGTGATAATTGCAATATCTATTGTTTTGAAAAGAATATTAATGATTGAATGAAAAGTCAAAGTCGGACATAAAGATTTTTTTTACCTTGATCCTTTAATTTCGGCCTATCGATGCCACTCAAACTTTTTACCAAAGATCCGATCCAGACAGCGTTAAATGTGCCCGGCAAGACACCAAGTGCAGTCGCCCAGAGGAAAGTAAAGAGCTTACAACAATCAAAATTAATATACTAGATTCTAAAAATATGCGTGAAAATCTCATTCATTCATTCATTCATTGATCACTAACCTCGATTGAACTAACAGAAAAGAAAAAACTAATCAAATTGAATGGAAGCGGTGTCATTCTAAGCATAACAACGATCTTCCAACCTATAAAAATTAACGTAATTTAGTCAAGAAAAGCAGCAAAAATAACATAATTCACTATATGTATGTTGTTAACCTTCATCAGCGATCACATTATTAAGTGCCAAAAATGTGGGTCGCTTTTCGATCTGTGCTCGCACCCAATCAGAGAATATATAACGCCCAAACATAAAAGTTCCGAAGGCTCCCAACAAATCTCCTGCTATGATAATTGCGCCGGCGAGAATGATAGGCTTGAAAAGAAAACCAGCAGCGATGCTTATTATGGATCTATATTTTAACAATAGAAATAGTAAATAAGGTGTGCATTTGCTAAAAAATTGCTCGATCATATACATACCCAGGCAAAAAAGTCCACACGCAAAGAGTATAAACACCAACATATATCAGTATTCCATATTTATGATGTTTTTCAATATATCTTAGCACATCTTTGATATGTTCTTGTAAATGGAAAACCTAACAAATACGACTTTAGACTCATTTGTAATAAAATTATTATAACACTGACGTTAAAATTACCATCGCAAGAACTACGATCAACCCAATAAAAGCAAGTAACATAAGGAATTTAACCAGAGCCTTCCATCTAAGTTTATTCTTTAACCATTTAGCATTCTTTTTCTTTGTGAGATTCCCATCAGCTAACAAGGAGCTTGTTTCTTCAGGTTCCTCGAAATCGTTTGCAGTATATTCAGCAGAAGTGCGTGCATATGAACGCGGTGTTGGTGATGCAGAGTTTTCCTCTACATTAATGAACACTGGGTCGCCGACTTCATTCTGGTTTGTCAACGACATTTTGAATTTGAATAAATAATTTTATTAATGAGACAAGCTGCTTTACCGTTACTCTTCCACAGTCTACTGCCATAATAGGAATGTGACATTAAACGGGAGTCAATACTCCCGTTTTTTTAAGATCATCTAAACACAGATACGATCAAAATAACCTAATTGGGTTCTTTTTTTCCGTAATTATCGTTATCGTTATCGTTATAGAGATAAAGCGAAAAAGCAATTTATTTATTTATTTGATAATAAAACTAATGTTATTTACTATATATAGAAATGTTCGTGCAAAGATATTTGACTATATTATAAATTAATTATTGATTGCAAAGAAATTCCAACACTTTCTCCAAACTCCCTTCAAGGTCGAGCAAAAGATCCTTATTCAAGGCGGTATTTGAAAAGCCCTAGTAAATATGTAAAAATATAAAATGTTAATCATCATAATTATTTAGACAGTAACAAACAACAGATTCATACCATATCAGTCAACTGTTGCAATTCTTGTTGATATTCGAATTCTTCCTTTAAATCATTCTCGACATTTTGTTCTTCAATAACTGAATTGTGATCAACAAATGAATTGTGCTCAACAACTGAATCGTGATCAACAACTGAATCGTGATCAACAAATGAATTGTGATCAACAAATGAATTGTGCTCAACGACTGAATCGTTCTCTTCGACGGAAGCAGCGATTGATGAAGTTTCCGTATCATTGATGAAAGATCTCTCCTCTAAATTCGTGCTAAGATCATTAACATCTACTTCGTCGTCGTCGTCACCATCATTATCTCTTTGAGGATGCAAGAGTTGTGAGCGAGGAGCTGATTCGTATTCTTCCGAATATTTTTCAACAACAATGAAATCTTCCTGTGTAGATGAGGATTCAGAATTTATAGATTCAGTCTCCGATTCTGAATCAGAAGCAGAGATACCAGAGATGGACAGTGTTGCTTGCGATTGATCGTCAATTGTGCGATTTTCTTCCAAATGTAAATCCGAATCAATTTCGGAGGGAATTGCAGGATCTTGGAACGGATCTTCGTCGGCGTCTACAAGTCTTTCAACATCCGATGTACGTATAGAGGTTTGGGTTGAGATGGGCACTGATTGAGTAGTAGATTCAGAAACCGAGAATTGATCAATTGAAATTGATTGTTGATCATAAGTCAATATAGGAAATATCATGGAAGATGACATGCTTGTTTGTTGATCAGCAGCTTCGACTATAATGTCACACCAGACACGATGACCGAAGCGATTTCCTCGACCGTCCGTCAAACGCCAATATCTTTTTTGAAATTATATTTTCTATTAGATATAGAGTGAATATAATTATAAGAAAATCTAGCTGCTTCTTGAACTTACGAGACATATCGACCAGGTTCTGCAGGCGCTTGAAGATCAGCCGTAATACTCAAATTTTTATTTGGTTCGACAGCGCCGACAGCGAATTGAGGGGAATCTTGTTCTGTTCTCGAATGGGTTTCATTAAACATCCATTGTCCGCCTACAAATTGCAATACTGTGGTTTCTGGCCACTATCATACAATGTAAAAAGAATATTAAATCATGACAATTCGATATCAGAATGTCATTGAAGCAAGAGCAAGCATGTACGTACAGCAACATCACCATCGTTCGACATTTTCCAAATTTTCAAAAACTGAGCTTGCGATGGTAACACAGTTCCATCTGGAACATTGACATCCTCTATGAAACTAGCACGAAGAACAGAGGCTTTAGGTTCCACTTTGTCTGTCTTTTCAACTTTTTTTGTAGGAATACTTCTGAAGGAGGAGGATGAGGAGGAGGAGGATGATGATGCAGAAGATTGCGAGCGAACAAAGATAGGTGAGGGTAAGGCAGGCGATGTTTCATACAGAGCAGTTGGAGCTCTGCTAATCACACTAATGTAAATCAATGAATAATAAGCTTAATATTGAATAAGACAAGAAATTCGTTATAATATAATCTGAAGATTCTTACCTTTTTTCAGATGATTGCGAGCTGGATTTTTGACTTGGCGGTGTTCTGAAAAATGATTTTTCTTCCTTTTTCGAAGTGTTAATTTCCCGCATCGAAGATGAAGATGATTTTTGAGATTGAGCTGATGATGATGATGATGATGATTTTTGAGATTGAGCTGATGATGAAGAAGTTGATTTTTGAGATTTAACTGATGAAGTTGTAGTTGATTTTGGAGATTGGACGGATGAAGTAGTAGTTGATTTTTGAGAGAGAGAAACTGCTGAAGATTTTGTAGATGCAGGAGACGATGAAGATGGAGCTGCTTTTTGAGAGATTGCTAAAGGTTGGGTCACTTTTGGAGATGCGGGAACTGATGAAGATGGGACTGTTTGTTTAGATTGAGAAGCTGGTGAAGATTGAGCTGGGACTGTTTTTTGAGAAGGCACAGCTGACGAGGGTGGAACCGCTTGTTGAATTTCTTCTTGGGATTTTGTCTTCTTTAAAACTTCAGCTAAGTTGGAGCAATATTTTGCCCTGGGTGACTTATGCTCGGTACGTGAATAAAAGTTCTGAAGTAATGGTTCGCGCGAAGAGATTGGAAGAGAGACTGGTTTCTTGATTTTGATGAATACGTGAGTTTCATTATGTTTATTCAACGGGGAGGCTTCACAGTTACCACAAAGGTCATAGTCTGAGCAGTTACCACACTATATAGTATTGTTAAAAAAGGAGAAAGGTTAAAGCAAACGATGATTTTTTTGAGATAATTATTTAGTATTTTCTACCTTATATCGGACACCATTAATCGCCTTGCTGCATCCATCGCAACGGATACCAGGATGATTAATAGAATCTAATAATATATAGAGAACAGACGAGAAATTAAAATCTTCGTATATTAATTTATAAAGCAAATTTAGAAATATTCAAATAAATATACCTGGTATCTTGATTTCCGGTTCTCCTGGTCGGTGGATCGGCATAAAGGTATGGTTCGGATGTTGCATAGGTGCAAGAGCTACAAAAAAGGAAAAGTTAATGAAATATCTTCGTGTATCGAATATCAACATCAAAGATATACATACAAATGCAATTAGTGCAAAGATCAAAATCAGGACAATTTATACATTTATGTCGAATTCCAAATATTACAGACTCGCAATAATCACAAATTGCGGAATGTAGATTTGGAGTGGCTAAAAAAAAGATAAAAAAAAATCAGTGAATAATATTTCAGAGCGGCAAACGCTAAAGAATTTGGATCAGCTTGTCATACATTGAGTTTTAGAGATAGAGGTTGGATATGGAATTGGACGGAAATTATGAGTACTTGGATGACGATGGATAGATGGTGCTTTAGATTTGCACGTTTGGCACAAGTCGAAATTTGGACATATTTGGCATTTCCATCGCATTCCTTGGATGACTAGGTGGCAACTATCACAAATTATTCCATGATGGACAACAGGTTCTAAAAGAGCCATAACAGAACAAAAATGTCGATTTAAAATTAACCAAATAATAAAAATTCTTTAAAATATTAAAATTTACCTGTCAATGAGCTTGGTACAGATCGGGAAATTTGTTGTGTTTCAGTTGTTTTCGAGGTACTGCTACCAATTTCGTTAATAGGTTTATTGGTTTCCCCGTCGTGATCCTTTTTATCATCATTATTGCTGTTAGTGTTATTGCTGCTAGTGTTTAATTGATGCGCCTTTGGTTCATCGTTAATTTGCTCCCGCGATACAGTAGTGATGGCATTCAAGTTGGATATACTCATGGAGAGGTCACGTTCAATTGAACTGCTGATTTGTGAAACCATGTTTTGGACCATCTCTTGTATATTTTTGAAGCCGCTATTAACCACTCGTTCGATTTGGTTATCAATATTTTCAACGGTGGTTGGCTGCTCAACATTTGATGAGGCTTCTTTCGAAGACGAGGCATTACTACTTTTACCTAAGAACAATAATATATCACATGAAAATTATATAATGTATATGAAAACGAAAATGGAGAAATAAAGAAAATTTAAACTTACTGCTGCTGCTACTAGTCTCTTTAGCACGGGCCGATTTTTGAAGAGCCGCTTTACTTGCTTTTTTTGTTAACTGAGATTGTGGTGGTTGAGCAGGAGTAACAGGAATGGTAGGAAGATTGGTCTTCTCCAAGAACAAACGGACAATAAGCTTATTTTGGTTGCGACTTAAGCTTGATAAGTGGACAATTGCCTCGTTCAAATCATGGTCATTTTCAATTATTATTGGGTCACCATCTTCATCAGAGTAACGTATTTTGAAGTGAACCAATTCAAAAAGAGCGCCGAGCTATAATACATATATTAACGAATTGAACATACATAAGTGCATGAATCAACCAAGTTTTCCTTCTAGCGAACCCTTGAACAGAAAAAAGATAACATACCCGCGAGTAAAGAGTGCTATATTTAATTTCAGAAGACCTAGGAAACGAAACGCGGCGCAGCTCTGAATTAAAACAGGCTTTAAAAGTGACCTGTGTGTTTTTTGATTCCATTAATAATATGGCTTATAAGGTTATTATATAGATAATGCAATGGGAAGTAATAAACAGAAGGCGAGTGAAAATGGTAAGGGATGGGGACGAGCGCAGAAAGGAATTTAAGAAAAAAAAAGGCAATGGTAAAGTTGTAATAATTATGAATGTTAATTATTATATTCTTGCAGGTTGTGGGAACAGCTTATTTATAATAATGTGAGAATGTGGTCAGATGGTTAGGTGAATACGTGTACCGTCATGCAAATACGTATAATAATCTAAACTGGAGATCGATAACCTGATTTAAAGTTGGCTTGGTTTTCAGAGGCGCAGCAAGAAACAATTGTTTATTATAATAATTCTGATTGATTGATTGATTGATTAATATGCAATAATGCAGGATTGGATAATAATTAGTTTAATGCGTAAACATTATGTTTTTATTATAATTACTATTGTATTAATTACTTTTAATGGCGGGCATTTTGTTCTTCCACGTCCAAATGTATCAATACTTCCTTTACACTTTCACATTCTTCTTTCACAGCTTTTCGAATCCGTTCCTCAATTTGATGGGCATGTGAAACACTTATATTGCCGGGAACCTGGAGTGTCATATCCACCAAATGAAATGGACCGGATTTACGACCACGTATAGCATGAAAGTTTACCACATTCGGTTCTTTATGCTATATTAAAAAACAATGAATTCAAGGATTCAAATATGATTCTATGTGTCAAATTCTATGTGTCAAAAAGGCAAAACTAAATCAAAACCTTGAGTTTGTTCACTACACCCTCGACTTTTTCAATTATATCCTCTTCGATTCGAACATCTACTAATTCCTTTAATGATGTGAACATGATCTCGGTAGCATTCTTCATAATAATACCCGCTACAAGCATTCCGCATAACGGATCCAAAAATAGGAAACCTAGATAACTCCCTCCGATTGCACCCAAAGCGACAAGACTAGAAGCCGCATCACTTCGATGATGCCTAAAAAAAAAAGCTTTATATTAATTCGAACAACAATAATGCTGATGATGCTAATGGTAAATTTTAAATGATATAAATATTTACCATGCATTCGCTACCAAGACATCTGATCTTTCTTCGATACCTACCTTTAATGCTTTTTAAGGGAACAACAATCATTAAAAAATAATTTCATATAGAAAAAGATTTGAATAGCTTACTTATTCTATATAAAGCTTCCTTAACTACCACCGATGCTGCAGCAAACCATGCAGCATTCGGATTTAATTTTTGCTTCTCACCAATAGGTGCAGAAGCAATGATTTGTGTGATATCAGGGACATCGTTTGGAATATTTGAAGTTACAACATTCATCAGTAATTCGTAAGAATGATGTCCAATTCCGACTGCACCTAAAATCAGCAGCGAGGAGACAGCCAATGACCCTACGGGCTCGTATTTACCTAAAAATTGTTGCATGAAAAATTATTTTCTTCTTGATTTGACAAAATTCTTTGAGAAATTAATCATATCTACCGTAGCCATAAGGATAGCGCTCATCCGCTGGTTTTCTAGAAGTGCGAAATGTGTACAATGTCACAAAATCACTCAAGAGATCTAAGTTATCAATTATTTGATTGATTAGTTGAATACTAAAACAACTTATATATCTAATGTTTTTATAGATTACCAACCACTCAAAGAATGGAAAGCATCCGCGACTAAAGAGGCCGAATTCATAAGCCTATACATCAAAAAACATTATAGCAAGCCATAATTAGATCCGACATCGATCTCGCAAGCAAAAAATAAATTCATAACGTACCATCCCGCCAAACCTTTTGCTACTGTCAAACCAATATTCGCACCCAATCCAATCAAAGTAATTCGTGTTCCGCGACTACCTTTCCAAGCACAAAAAATTTTTTAGAATTTGTATTGAAACTCGTGACTGCCAAATTTCTTTCTTAGTAAGGACATTTCTAAAAATTCTCTACCTACGCGTCTCAGATAACGCGGAAACCAAATGTGAATGTGATTGAGCGCGTTCTTCTCCACCGTGTGTATGCTTTTGTATTGTCTGATGCCATCTTTTTTGAAAATTATTTGCCGCTGAAAGTTTTATCGGTGATTTTGATACATACCTTCTTACTTGTAAACTGGTAGAAAAACTGTTTATTTGCAAATGAGATAAAAAAACAAGTCGCGAAGAATAAAAAGATATAGTATTGGAGGTAGTACTATTTATGACAAAAAGAGTGGCTAACTCAGTTGGAAGGTTTTTCGCTGTTTTACTTAATGTTTCAGCGGTTGCCTTTGAATAGACTATTCGGCCACAGTAACGGTAAAGCATAATTACAAAAACGAAATTTGGAAAAGCATACACATATCAAATCATAATTGCATATTATCACGCGACATGTTGGATTAGAAAATCGTTGCTTCATGTTTTCAGTACAAGTCCAACAAGGACCGGGTTAGGGTCCGTGTGGTAAGGAGCGTTGTGTACACTGTGTTTAGAAGTTCAAGCAACAAAAGATTGTTGATGAAATTGAAATATACTCACGATCGATGTTCCGCCTAATAGGATTCCTGTAGACATGAAAGCCTATAGTTGTCCGAAGTAACCTCAGGTAGGGTTCCGCCAGTAGTTTTGTGACCTTCTATACAGACTCGATGGAGGAAGTGCTTGCAACTCAGTATCATGATCGGTTATTAACCTCATTGGGGATCGCTCGGAAGTCTTGTGAAAAATTATATATGAAGCGCTCATCTTCGTTTTCTCAGAATCCCACACGAGTCAGTCTAGCTATACAGGTCTAACCATTCAAATCAGCAATTAACGTTAATTAGTAATATACAATTACGCCATTCACTTCGGACTTTTCCAAAGGATGACTGTGACTGGTAACCGATTCGCCGGTAATATAACAATAAGTGGTATAATATTTAGCATTAGTGTTAGATGTATATATATCGGTAATTTCGGGTAAATAGTGACAGTTTCTTTTCTACAGCTATAGAACCGCTGCCAAAGCTGCTTACGATTACTTAGAAAATATAAAATGGGGATGAGTTGATAATGGAAGAAATTTTTCTAATCTATTTTACGTATACTTTTTCAATTTTTATTTTATACAATACACAACTGTGGGAACAGTTAAAGTAATTTCTGATTCATTATCTGGTCTATCTTGCACTTCCAACTCGAGATTTTCTGACTAACCAAAAGATGTCGGTGACTATTGAACCGTTACCGATAGATGACGGTTCGGTAAATTACCGAACCTATCGGTTATCAACAATAGTAATGGCAAAGATTTCGAGATTTTAAAAAAATTCGCTTTGAATTTAAGTTAGAATGTTCAGCTTACTGTATTTTTGTATAGTATTATAAATGCAATTACTATTATTTTGATCTTAACTCAATAATTTTGATAACGATATGAGATTTATGTTAATAAATTGTGTTTTATAAATTTAGTATTGAATCAGTTTTCTGTTTTATTCACAAGAAAGATAATAGATATAGATTTACATATAATAATTTAATAACAAGATTTATAAACAAAAAATTTAATAAATTAATTTAGCTCATTATAATTATTATAATATTTTTTTTAAATAAATTCAAATTAGTGATGGAAATTACAACTAATGGCAACTTATCACAATTTTCTAATTGGCTATTGCAACTCTATTATAATCTATTACAAGTTATAATTATTATATAACACTATAATATATTATTATAATAGTAACATAAATTTTCTTAATTTCCAAAAAAGTAAAAATAATTGAAAAACAAAAAATCTTCAAAAATAATTCAAAATAAAAAAAATAACTTGATAAATAATATTTATAACTTTATTTATAATTTTTTATAATATTATTTATTATTTATAATTTTATTTACAACTTCTTTTACAACTTACAATTTTATTTATAATTTTTTTACAATATTATTTATTTATTATTTACAACTTTATTTTTATAATATTATTTACAATATTTTTTATAATTTACAATTTTATTTATAACTTTCATATTTTCAATTAATATAATTATATTTTTTTTTGGTTCTGAAATACTTTATATTAGTACAAAGAATTAGTATTTCAAAATCTTTTTAATATTTATTTTTCTTTTATTTTATAATATTTTTTTTAATTTTTATTTTTATATATTTTATTTTTTCTTGAACTATTAAAATTTTAATAGAAATTGATATAAAATCTAAATATATCTCTTTTCTTTTAGAATTTTGTTTATTTATTTAATTTATTCTTTTAATTCAAATTCAAATTTATAAGTTAATATATTAATTAATGAATAAACTTATATAAATAAGAAAGTAAAATAGAATAACTATAAAAAAGTGTGACTATAAATGGATATGACTATAAAAAAGTTTGACTATATCTATTATTAGAGTTCTAAAAAAAAGTTTGATTTAGTTTAAGCTTGAATATAATCAAAAATCTAATTCAGAAATTTGAATTCAATTAAAAGTTTAATTCAAGTTTAATTTAAATTTTGAATTTGATCAAAAATCTGATTTGAATTCAAGTAAATACTTGATTAAGTTCTAAATAAAGTTATAAATCTTATTTAAAACTACAAATTGATATAAAATAATTAATATTTAGGATGAATATTCAAGAAGTTATAAAAATTTATATAATAATTATAAACTATAATTTTAAGCAAAGTTATAATCAGAAATAAAAACTATAAATTGATATAAAATAATTATTATTAATAATAAATATTCAAAGTTATATAGAATTTATAATATTATTATAATATATTTTATTTCTTATATTTTATTGGATAATTAAATTAATTAATTTATTCTTATTGGATATTTTATATAATATATTTTATTGAACAATATTTATTTATAATTTTATTGGTTATCTATTTTGAACTTATTATTTATTTATATATTGTATATCAATGTGATAAATTAATTAAACTTTTAATATTTTGAATAGTTAATCTTTAGAGATATTGAACTGTTGATATTAATCTTTAGAATAATAGAATTTTTATTAGTTTAGTATTATGAATATTTAGAGATTATTATTATAATTAATTTTATATATAAGTAGCACTTTACTTAATAACAAAAAGATAGCTTAATTTTAACAAATATCAGAAAATGCAGTTTTGCACAGATCTTCAGATCCAAAAATCTGTGCAAAATTTCAAACCTAGTGACAATTGATAAAGAAAAATTTTTTAAAAAATCTGTACAGATCTGTAACAAAATGTAAATCTGTGCAAATTTTTTTAAAATTTTATGCAAAATTTCACAATGTCAATTTCAAGTAGCAGTAGCAGTAGCAATTTCAAATAACAGTAGAATTTATTGATTAAATAATAGTAAAGAATATTTATTTTATTGTAAAGTATATATATATAATAATAAAATATCAATTTAAAGAAAATTATATTACATATATTTGTGATCCAAGTTGATAATCTTTTGAATAAAAAATTGATTTTTTTACAAGATTACAAAGAAACAAATTGCAAAAAATATTAAAGAAACTTACAAAATTGTTATAGTCATCATCTTCCTTTTTTTTTTTTAATCATATTCCTAGCTCATGACTTTTGGTATTTTTCTTTGTTGCTTGCTTTACCTTTTTGATTTCTTTTTCTGTTATCTCTATCATCATTTCTGATAAATAATTTTTAATGTAAATTTAAGTAAATTCAAAGTATTACTTATTATAAATACATGAACACATCTTGCTATTAACTTATCTTTGCATTTGATTTCTAGACTTGACAGATTGAGAAGAATATTATAGATAACTAAGATAAATATACAGTCATTATCAGCAATTCTTTCTTTTTATATTGTTTAAATACTATATAATCAATATTTGTGAACAAATTATCATTGTGAAAGAGATTTTTATATGTGTTTTACTTTTCTTCCATTTAATAAGATGAATGAAAGAAGTGTTATTATTAACTCTTACTAATTTTTCTTTACCAAATGTTGAAAAAACAGTATTTTGAACAGTAAAAGCATAATCATTGCATTTACTGTGGCATTTGCCCTTATTTAAAATTATTAAATAAAAATAATTAGTAAAAAATCTACAAATTTATATAATTTATAATAAACCTGATAATTGTGTTGCTTCATGAACATGAATATTCATGCATTATAACCTATACTATCAATATAATCTTCAGCATTTTTTATCAAATATTTTTTCAGTATTTGTCAATACTTCTTAAGGGTTGAAAAGAGAATCATAGAAATTAACTCCTTGACTATCTTTTTGTATACTTGCTATATAGAATAATAGAAAAAAGAACTCTAATAAATCTTGCAGATTGATTTTTAACTTTGAAAGTAATCAAAGATAAGTATTTTTCAAATAGTTTATCAGTAATGACTAACTTTTTAATTAATTTGATTTATTCTTGTATTTGATTATCTAAAAATTGACAGGGATAATATATACTATTGTATAATGATCTTTCGTCATAATATTATATATTATTGGATTATACATATCTCATATCTTATTGGATAAAGATCAAATCACATAAAGCAAGTGAACAAGTAAGTGAACAAGCAAATAAATGAATGAACGAATAACTAAACAAATAAGCGAACAAACAAGTGAATGAATATTGAATTAATAAAATTTAAGTGATATAACAAACATGAATTTGTATAATCTAGAAATTATATCTTGAATTTGTATAAAAGCA